GGTTATACCTTTATGGGAATGTGAGAATATGGTTATACCTTTATGGGAATGTGAGAATGTGGTTATACCTTTATGGGAATGTGAGAATATGGTTATACCTTTATGGGAATGTGAGAATGTGGTTATACCTTTATGGGGTTTGGTGCATAAAGGCAGAGGGTAATAGTGGCTTCGAGTTCAAAAGTTGAACAGCCCTTGGAAAAAAAGTGTCTCTTCTCCTTTGTGTCCTGCGGTCCGGGCAGCAGATTCGGTGCCCAGAAGGAAGCCACATGGAAGATTTGGCAACAGAAAGTGAGAAGACCTGCTGGTACGGGATAAATTCACAGAACTGTGAGGGAAGCTAAACAAACATTGTCCTCTGACCTGTTTCTGATGCATCTTATTGTTTGTTCTATCCAGCAAACCCGTCATACAGCTTTCATCTCCACAGAATGATGACGCAGTTTTGTATGCTCAGAGGTGCCAGGTGGGTCAGAAAGGGTCACCCTTCTTCTCTGGCTGCTCCTGTAGAAACCTCTTAATGAAGATCTTCACAAGGCCGTACTCCGAGATTCCAGCCATGACACTCACATTAACAGCTTCCAAACTCACAGACGCCCACATCACCTCCCAGTAGCTCCTGTACACACTGCAACTGCAGTGTGTGGCTCAGTGGGTTATGGTGCAGTGCCTGTGATCGGAAGAGCGCCAGTGTAAATGCCAGCGTCGGCAGAGTGGTTTCGCTTTCAGATCTTCAGCCCATGAGGGCATGTGGCTGCCAGTGCCTCATAGGGGGCGCTCTTTCACACACAGAGCTGGACACTAAGTAGGATTTGGAGATGCTAATTCACTGGGGCACTGGGAAGGACATGCACACTTTATACACATCACATCACTTTTATATCTATGTGATCAGAGTGAATGCTTTTGTCCTGTTTGTTCTCTTGAGAACAGCAGTGATTACGACTCAGATGGAGATGTTGGTTCATGCCTTCATCTCGTCACATTTCACTTGCTTAAATAAGATCTCACTGCTATGTTTTCAGTCTATTCAAAATGCTGCTAGACTGTTAACACACTAGTAAGTGGTCACATATCATCCCCATTTTATTTTCTCTTCATTGGCTTCTGGTAGAATTTAGAATCTGTTTTAAAGTTCTAGCCCCCAGTTACAGATCTCCGAATGGTCAAACCCAGTATAATTCTGATCGTCTGCACCGACATGCCACCAGTCGGTCACCCAGGTCGTCTCATCAGGTCCTTATTGTTCCCCGTACGAGGCTAAAGACACACGGCGATCGTGCCTCTGGTCTGTCGCACTGAGATGCTGGAACAACCTTCCTCCTGCTTTGCGGGCTGCCAGCACCATTGATGGCTTCAAAAAACAGCTGAATATTTGTTCAGCCTCGCCTTCGGGTCACCATGTGCTCTTTTTGTTGTTGTCTAGTGTTTACTGTCCACTGGAGTGCTAGCTTGTGTTTTTAATCTTCTGTTTGCCGTTTGTCTGTTTTTATGTACAGCACTTTGTCACTTTGTGAAAGCCGCTTCGTAAATAAATATCTTCTTTTATTTCTTCTCGTTCTCTTAATTTGAATATTGTTCCTGAGTTCCCGGAGCCGTCATTATTCAGCACACAAATCCCATAACTGCAGAGGCCTTTTCTTCTGGCTTCTCCAGATGTCACTCCTGCCTTTTCATTTATAACCCGCCACATAACCCAAAAGCGAACGTGTTCAGCCGCACCCTCCATTGCCATTACATAACTGCCTATCCAGTGTAGGGTCACAGTAAGCCCAAGTGCAAGGCAGGGAGTATAATGCATGGGACGCCAGTCCATTGCAGGGGACACACTGACGTACTCTGGGCACTTTAGAGACGCTGGTTAGGGAACAGCGGAAGGGAACCAGGCTTCATATGCAAAGATCATGCGGTCAGGAGTCGAGCCCTGGACACTGTAACGATCATGAATCTGAAAGAAAGGTCGATCACACCAAGAAGGACTGTCCTCCTTGCAACGTCCGGGCTTGGGTCTGCATACTTACGAAAGAAGGTTTCCCAGAATTCCACAAACCACCCCCATCCTGTCATTGTTCAGTAGTTAAGATGGATGCCTAACACACAGCAATCAGCCCAGACCAGCGAGCTGTAAGTGGCAGCCCAGAGTAACACCCAGGGAAGCAGAATGGCCGTTTATTCCTTGAAGGCATTTCAATCTCCATCAAATGCGAAATACTTAGTGTTTCCAGGAACAGCAGCTGCTTCCAGAACACAGCAGAACTACCCTAAGCTGACAAAGTGACAAGCTGAGAAACAGATTGTTTCCTAAAAGCCCAAAGTAATAATCAAAGGCAGGGGAGTCTGTCTTTGCCTTTCCTTGAGAAAGCTGGGGTCAGACCATCCTGGGGGAGACGGAGGATAAGGGGTTTGCTCAAAGGCCAAACTCTGGGTCTCTGAACCAGCAACCCGCCGCTCACATGCACAGCATCCTCAGCCAATGAGTCACTCGCACACCAACCCCTGTTAGACAAGATTAACATCTGCTTTCCCAACTGTGTCAGGATCAGCATTTAATATTGTAGTATCTAACCACTCAGGTTTGCATGGAATCTGATCTGCATGGCTTCTTTAGCACAAAAACAGGACATTGTTGAGTCAAGTTTGGGAATTTGTCATCCTTTGGTTAAAGGTCACAACAAGGAGGCAAATCAAAGCTGTGTTTCCAGCCTGAAACACACAGGAAGCAGAATTACCTTAGAAGGATTCTTGGCACAAGTCCATTAAAAGCTTTTTATTAATCCTGTGCTTCAAAGCCTCTGGAAAACAATTCCTGAGAATATGTTTATTGCATTTGTAGAATGTGTGTGCAGGCTATGACTCCTTTAAAAAGAGGTGCTATATCAAAGCTTTGGACTGTGACCATCAGTCAATCACAGGGAGAGACAGCAGAACAGCCCTTAACTAGGTTAACCAACCCTTAACCACGCTGTTCCACCCTTCCCCTCCTCCTACGTACCTATTCAACTGCTACAGCCAGTGATGCACGCTATTTTCCAGACCTCAGAAGTGGTGCACATGTCATTTTCATACACCAATACAATTTTTATTACACTAAATATTCATAACTAGTATGAAAAACCAACACAGAAAGCATGTGCAGCGATGGGAGATTGCAGAGGGCACCGACTGCCTGTTGTCCAGTGTGCTGTGACTCTCCCCTGAACACTGGCCTCACGCAGGAAAATTTCATTACATTTCCCACTACACTTACTTTGTTATTTGATAGTTATGTCACCGCTTGGGATCTATTGGCTTTGTCTTGTCCTCAAGAGGAGATTGGCTGACTGGCATCTGAACGGCTGGCCAACAGCCAATGAGCAGCACTCTGGGCCTCAGCAAGAAGTGAGCAAGGTGGAGATGCAGCAGGTGACCCCATCAATGCGCTCACTCTACCTCTCGGTCTGTACCTCATCAACACCCTCGCTCTGCCTCTCGGTCTGTACCTCATCAACACACTCGCTCTGCCTCTCGGTCTGTACCTCATCAACACACTCGTTCTGCCTCTCGGTCTGTACCTCATCAACACACTTACTCTGCCTCCCGTCTGTACATCATCAACATGCTCACTTTGCCCCTTGGTCTGCACCCCATCAAGACACTAGCTCTGCCTCTTGGTTAGTTTCTTCTCTCACAGAGAATACCTCGCCTCCATGTATGATTCCATGTAGCCTCTGGATGACAGCTTTGACCTTTCATCATGCTCCTTCAGTGACTGTGTCTCTCCAGTTTCCCTGAGTGACTGCGTGACTCTCATCTCCACGCGGCCGCGACCCCCCAGTATCCAGCATGCTAGCAGCAGCCTGGGGCTACATGCTCTGCGTGTCGGAGAATTAGCTGGATGTCAAGAACATGCCACCATATTTTCTGTCCTGGCATGATCCTGACAGGTGCTGTTAACATGTTTGATATTCCAGTCAGCTGTTTCTCTGAAGGAAGCACAATGTCTGCCGAAACAAGGCGTTATTTGCCATTGTACAAGCAGGAGAACAAGTACATGGTAATGTTTTTTCACATAATGCTCTTTTTAAGTCTGATGCAGAGCAGTGCTCTCTGTTTAATGACACATAAAAGCATGAAACACACAGAGCAGAGTTTCTCATTACCAAAGTCAACGTAAAAGACGCAAAGTCAAGCAAGCGATTACATGACAAATCCTTCTTGTGAGACCCAATGTGTCAGAACACCCTGTTTAAAGGCTTAAATGGACAGTGCTGGACACGCCGTAGGTGTCCTCAGCTGTCCTGCCACACCTACACTGCTCCGTACCTTTTAATGCCAGAGCGGTTTTAATACTTTTGAATTAAGACTGATTTGATGAAAAGTAGCAAACAATCAAATAAGAACAAAAAAAGAGCCGGAGGGCTTGACTGGAAAACATGGGAATTCTACAGCAAAGGAAAAGGAGGAATCACTGAGAGATGCGGACAGAGCTGTTCATGGGGGAGTGGCCAGAGCATGAGGGAGAGTGAAAAAACACAGAGGGAGTGAGAGAGTGTTACAAGGAGTGTTAGAGGGAGAGAGTGAGCCTGTTGCGGGGATCAGTATCCGGCCAGCGTGCTGGCGGTCGGGTAGCGGTCCCGGTCCACCAGCAGACTGTGCGTCTTGGTCGCAGTGGCCTTCTCCAGTGCCATGCGTGTGTCCTCCAGGTGGCGCAGTGACCGCTGTGACTCGGCCAGCCGTCGCTGCAGTGACTCCACAGCGCACTCAATCTCACCTGCTTCGGCGACCAGACTGTTGGGGGGCCAAGGGTGGAGAGACAGCTGAACATTTACCCTCTTCTATACTATACTTCAGTTCAATACCTACAGTCAAATTCAGAGTTATTGGCAACCCTAATGAATGTGAGGTAAAAATAATAACACCTAACAAACCATCCAGATATGAATCATAATTTGCCATTTCCTGTTTCTCTGGGGTACATATATGATGTCAGACACGTGCAAAATCCCATTGTCATCCATCAACAAGCATAAATCCAAAGATCATTCATGTCAAATAACATTAAAGGTTGTTAACCTTTAAAAATTAGGTGAGAGTATAGAAAGATTGATAAACTGTTAAAATGACATTGAGCACAATCAGGGCAACTATTAAAAAAATCAATAAACATGAAACAATTGAAAAATTGCCTGTAAGTGGAGGCATCAGCAAACTGTCCCAACCCACAGGACATGCATCTCACTAATGCTAACAAAGCCAAGGGCAGCAGGCCTGATGCAGTCTCAGCTCGCCGACATG